AGGGCCTTTCAATGTGACGTCTGAATGTCCTAGCTACTTAGGGGGGTGAACATGAGTCCAATTTTGCTTTTCATCCTCCCCCTCTCTCTCTGGAAGTGTGTGGCTGCGTGCGTGCGTGTGTGTGTGCGTGTGTGTGTTGTGTGTGTGTGTGTTGTGTGTGTGTGTGTGTGTGTGTGTGTGGTGTGTGTGTGTGTTGTGTGTGTGTGTGTGTACTCACCAGTTTGTACTCACCTAGTTGAGTTTGCGGGGGTCGAGTCCGAGCTCCTACTAGGGTCCACTCTCCCCTGAGCCCGTGAGCTTTATCATACCTCTGCTTAAAGCTATGAGGAGTCCAAAAAATTTTTGATAACACAAGCCTATCCGAATGTATCCTGACGCCATATAACTCGAACAGGGCGATAAATGGACATGCCCATGCACGCTGTCCCCAGGGCCAACTCATGGAACTCTGTGTTTCATCAAGAACTGCAAGAACCCCTATCACGAGCCCTTTTTCCATCCTATGGAGAAGGGAGCGTGGACACGGGGTCGTCCACAGTTCTAAAAACAACAGACCATAGCCCACTCCACAAAGGGGGCAGTAAAGGCAACGCAAAGAACTACAGACCTAATAGCACTAACGATCCCATATCATAAAAATCCTTTGAAAGGGTCACTAAGAAGCAAGATCAACGCACGCATCTAGAAACCCATCAGTTACACAACCCAGGCAACATGGGTTTAGAACAGGTCCCCTGTCTGGTCTCAACTATTGACCACTACTACAAGGGTCCTAAATGCACTAGAAGACAAAAAGAATGCGATGTCATATAACAGACTTTGCAAAAGCCTTTCGAAAGTGGGTGACCATGGCGTAATAGCGCACAAAATGCGTGCTAAAGGAATAACAGGAAAAGTCGGTCGATGATCATAATTTCCTCACTAACAGAACAGAGAGAGTAGTCCGTCAACAGAGTAAAGTCCGAGGCAGCCTACGGTGAAAAGCTCTGTTCCCACAAGGCACAGTACTCGCTCCCATCTGTTCTCTCATCCTTATATCCGACATAGACAAGGATGTCAGCCACAGCACGTGTCTTCCTTTGCAGATGACACCCGAATCCTGCATGACAGTGTCTTCCATGAAGACACTGCAAAGCTCCAGGCAGACATCAACCAAATGCTTTCAGTGGGCTGCAGAAAACAATATGAAGTACCCCCCCCCACCCATGTGGTGTGTGTGCTTCAGGAGAAATTTCAATTACTCAGATATGGTAAACATGAGAAATTAATCTCCATCAGAGTACAAAACAAATTCTGGCACAAAATAGAGCGAAACACCAACGTCAAAGACCTGGGAGTGATCAGTCGAGGACTCACCTTCAAGGACCATAACATGTATCAATCGCATCTGCTAGAAAAATGACAGGATGGATAATGAAACATTCAAAACAGGGAGGCCAAGCCCATGATGACACTCTTCGGTCACTGTCTATCTAGGCCTGGAATATGCTGCACACTAACAGCACCTTTCAAGGCATGTGAAATTGCGACCTCGGAAAATGTACAGAGAACATTCACGGCGCCGGCATAACGGAGATAAAACACTCAATTATTGGGAGCGCTTGAGGTTCCTAAACCTGTATGCCCGGAATGCAGGAGGGAGAGATACATGATTATATACACCTGGAAAATCCTAGAGGGACTAGTACCGAACTTGCACACGGAAATCACTCACTAACGAAAAGCAAAAGACTGGCAGACGATGCACCATCCCCCCAAAGAAAAGCAGGGTTCACTAGCACGTAAGAGACCATACAATAAGTGTCAGGGCCCGAGACTGTCAACTGCCTCCCAGCACACATAAGGGGGATTACCAACAGACCCCTCGTCAGTCTTCAAGCTGGCACTGGACAAGCACCTAAATTCATTGTCCGAATCAAGCCGGCGGTGGCTCGTAGTTGTTTGCGTGCAGCCAGGCAGCAACAGCCTGGTTGATCAGGCTCCTGACCCACCAGGAGGCTGGTCCTCAAAAAAAGGAAAACCCCCCGGGGGCCCCCGCGGGCAGTTGACCCCCGGAACTCTCTCCAGGTAAACTCCAAGGTATGTATGGGATCCTGCCTCCACTACATCGATCCCAAACTATTTCCACTTACTTACTACTCTGTGGCTGAAGAAATACTTCCTAACATCCCTGTGATTCATCTGTGTCTTTCAGCTTCCAACTGTGCCCCTTGGTTACTCGGTCCAATCCTCTGAACACCTGTCTTTGTCCACCTTGTCAATCCCATCAGTATTTTGTTATGTCGTTATCATGTCCCCCCTATCTCTGTCCTGTCCCTCCAGTGTCGTCAGGTTGATTTCCCTTAACCTCTCCTCGTAGGACATACCTCTTAGCCTGGTCTAGTCTTGTTGCAGGACCTTTGCACTTTCTCTAGTTCTTTACGTGCTTGGCTAGGTTTGGGTACCAAACTGGTGCCGCCATACTCCAATATGGGCCTAACGTATACGGTGTACAGTTCCTGAACGATTCCTTTATTAAATGTCGGAATGCTGTTCTGAGGTTTTCTAGGCGCCCATATGCTGCAGCAGTTATTGGTATGATGTGCGCTTCAGGAGATGTGCCTGGTGTTATACTCACCCCAAGATCTTTTTTTCCTTGAGTGAGGTTTTGTAGTCTCTGACCCCCAGACTTACTCCGTCCTGCGGCTCTTTTGCCCTTCCCGAATCTTCATGACTTTGGCACTTGGTGGGATGAACCCCAGGAGCCAATTGTCTGGACCAGGTCTGCTGCCTGTCCCAGATCCCTTTGTAGTTCTGCTGGTCTTCGATCGAGTGTAATTCTTCTCATCAAATTCACGTCATCTGCAAACAGGGACACCTCAGAAAGTCTATTCTTCCGTCATTTTGTGTGTGGGTGTGTGTTGGGGGTGGGTTTTTTTTGGTTTTTGTGTGTGTGTGTGTGTTGTTGTGTGTGCGTGTGCGTGTGGTGTGTGTGTGTGTGTGTGTGTGTGTGTGTGGTGTGTGTGTGGGTGTGTGTACATATTAATATATATTTTTTACATGTCAGCCATCTCCACCAAATGATAATTTAGACACATGTTCAAACTCTTGGTATCTTATTGAGGAAATGTTTCACCACACAGTATTAAGATCCCAAAAAGTTGCAGTGTCTGATAGGAAATTGGTAGATGTATGGTTCAGAGAACCTTACATGTTGATAAATTAGACACATGTGGCAACTCTTGGGATCTTTATTGAGGAGAACGTTTTGCCACACAGTGACTTCATCAGTCCCATACAAAGAAGAAAACTTGGAAGAACAGAAGGAAAATGAGGTAATTCAGTCCCTCAAACCTTGGAGTCAATGTGGTTCATCCATCAATCTTGAATAGAATATGGTATATGTTCGGAGAAGCAGCTTTAAACCGTAGGCAGGAGAGGTGCAGTCAGTCCGTAGGGTTCACATTTGTCCAATGTGGAAGTAAGATTTAGGCAAGCCTAACCGTTGTGGTGGGGGTTTTTTGTTTTTGGTTTTTTTTTTTTTTTTTTGTTTTGGAACGACCTACTTCCACATTGACAAAGGGACAACCACCTACGACTGCTGCACCCTCTCCTGTCTACTGTTTATAAAGCTGCTTCTCCGCACATATCTGTATTTCTATTCAAGATTGATTGACGACCACATTTGAACTCAAGGTTGAGGGACTGATTACCTCATTCATCCTCCTGTTCTTCAAGTTTCTCCTTTGTATGGACTGATGAAGCCACTGTGTGGTGAAACATTGCCTCAATAAAGATACCCAAGAGTGCACATGAGTCTAATTTATCAATATGTCGGTTCGCGGAACATTCATCTACATCCCAACCAAGGTAGGGACACATACAGGAAACCAATTCATCATCAGTTCACTAGTTCTTGGACACAAGTGTGCAGACATACGTTTCAAAATAACTCTCCGAACTACTACCATCCCATCCATTCTGACAACGAAGTCAATTAACATCAGTGACATACTACTTTATAGAAAGCCGCTTGTTATGTAGAGCTTCGGACAAATTAGGTCAATTTTGTACCAGGATTGACCCACACCAGTTGGCTAACACCCAGGTACTCCATTTTATACTGATGGGTTGAACATGGACAGCATGGGGTGGGGGCGACTTATGGAAATACGTCCCCTAATGTTTTTCAGTCTTACTGGGGATTCGATCTCCAAACCTCATGGAGTGAGTCTGATTGCACTAGCAATCGAGCTACAGGACACCTAACACCAGAAACATCTTTAGTCCACATTGCTTAAAAATTTTGAGTCTAATGTATGAGAAGGGATTACAAAGGGGGGCCCCCAAAACGGTTAAAGCTTCAGGGCCCCAGAAATGTAGGTCCACCACTGGGTGTACTATATAAACAGGCAAAAAGTGCTAAATATCAGGCAAGACAAATTTTAAACACTTAGACCTTTATGCTACAGAGGTAAAAATTACAATCAGGCAGAAGACAACCATTATAATTAGAGAATGGTTACAAATAAACACTTAAGGAAATATATTTGTAACTGTAACCAGACTATTACATGATGTTTGGGAACAGAATACCAAATGTCCAACTAACTATAATGATTAATAGTTCTGACATTGTATGACAAAAACAAGGGAAAATTCTAAGGAACCTGAAATTCTACAATCTCAAAGAGCACATGATGAAAGAAGTGCTTAAAGCAATAAGGTCACACAGCTAACCTGGGTAATAGTAAAATAAGTTTGATCCAAGAGCCCTTCCCACACCAAGGACCCTCCTTTAACCCTAAAAAATTNCTAAACTGTCCAAACTTAGATATACATTGATGTGTGGCAGGCTCCGAAGGTAGATCTACTTTTTTTTTACATGCTTTCAAATGGGGAAAAAATCAAGGTCGGACCGCTACGCACGTGAACGTTGACCTACATTTGGACAATTTAAGGGTTTAAGAAATATCAATGGCATGTACAGAAGGTACAAGTATAAAAGAGAATACACTCACTATATCTTTCCGTGCCTTAGCATCAGTGTCACACCAGCAGTAGTTGGACTGAGCAACGTGGTGCAACTGACTGCGTCTCTTAGGATCTACAAATCTGCATCACGTAAATAAGGTAAAACATACTTTAAAAATTGCAACAAAAAATTATTCATTTTAAAAAAATCCAATGTACAACTGTATATCAATGGTAGAATATATAAACAAGTGTGTACATGTTAATAAGACACAATATGCAGTAGGCATCCTCTCCAAGATACATTACTATGTACCTCAAACAACATTATTTACATTATACCACTCTCTAATCTACCCTTACCTCTCCTATGGTAATTGTGCCTGGGGATCTACTACACCAAATCACCTAAAACCATTAATAACTCAACAAAAAGCTGCTGTGCAGACTATCACCTGTTCCAGCATCAGACAATACTTTTCCCCACTATTCAAAAGCTTTAACTTACTTAATATTCAAAATATGCATTCATACTACTTTGCCTACAATATATATATAGAACTTTAAACTTTTCTTTGATAGCTGCAACAGAACACACAGGCATAACACAAGACAAAAAACCCTCTTTGACATCACCTATGTCTGACTCAACCACTGCAAAAACTCAATGAACATAAAAGGCCCTAAGATCTAGAATTCACTGCCAGAATCATCGAAAGGTTCCCTGTCTGCCAATCAATTTTGAGCTATTGTTAAAAAGCATCTCATCTCCCTAACTAAACTAAACCAGCACTATGCTAAATTAAAAACCAGGTCATCCACCTCTGTTCCTGTTTGTCTTCCAGTCTTCTTCCAACTCCCACAGAAAACTAACTACTTATCTTGTTCCATTATATTTCTACTGAAACTAAGTCACTTCTTGTATCTTATCTTTCAATTCTTCCACAAAACAGAAGACAGTGAATCAGTTTCAACCAACAAATCATACCTCAAAACTGTACCTTTGTATATTCACTACCATTCTTATTGTGCATATAATAGTAGTTAACTGCTTAAGAAATCCTACTTAAGTGAAGATCACTGAATCAATCTGAAATATTAAAGCATACTTTCAAAATTATACTACTGTTCATTTAGCTAGCTCTTTTTGAACATTAAAATGGTATAAAATACCGACAGGTTGTTAGGTAAGACACATATGCAACAGTTAGGTATCTTTATTATCTTTATTATCCTGTAAAATGAAGCAGCAGGATGTTGTGGTTTGCTGTATCAAAACCTTTTCTTAGATCAACAAAAGCAGTCTCTTATACATTTATCATTTTCTAATGATGCATAGATGGAGTCAAGCAGGATGAAAAAAAGCTAATTACTGTAATATGTAACTGGTGTGTTAATGGTTTCATCAGCAAGGTGTGGTGTCAAGTACAGCAGTACAATGTGGCATCTTACTCATCAATTTTCTGAGGAAGTGTCTGATTCTTGTTAGAGATGACAGGCACGAAGATCACAGAGTAACGGGACTCTGGAACAGGTGGTGTGTATCTCCCCAGGGTCCAGCTCAGAGATACTTCAATATGATCTTTCTGGTACCTGCAAGTAGCAATAGTAACTTAGTCTGCTATATATAAAAAAACTGCCTAGTATTGCTGCAGGTAGGTAGGTACTACTAATACTAGGAGTGTGCCAAAGTATCAATATCAGGGAATCAGCTAATTTTGATGGTATCAGTATCAGTGAGAGTTAGCAAACTCTGATTTAATAGGTTTGCCATTGTAAAACATCTTAGGATGCTGGAAAATTTCAGAGTTTCTGGAAAACTTTCCAACATGCTGCAAGTATGAAAAACTCAGGAAAAAACACCCAAATCTATAAAACAGCCTTGGAGTTTTTGTGTGGAAAACTTGTAAACCTCCAAAAACCTGTACAATGTGGGTTCTTACCACTAGTGTATGAACATCACAATTCAGTTCTTACCACCAGTGTATGAACATCACAATTCAGTTCTTACCACAAGTGAATGAGCATCGTAATTCAGATGACCCTCTGAACTACAATATCACCATTCTTCTTTTGGAGAACAGGTTCTGTACTTCTCACCTTCAGAACTCAAGTTTAAAAAATTTGTTTTCCTGGATCTCTTCATGTTATATACATTGCCACACCCCAACAGCACATCAAATCCCAAAAAACAGTCATATGCTAGATTTCTCTAATATAATAACACTTACCTGGTTAGGGTCATGCCCTTGACCTGACCATTGTCAGCAACTCCCAGGTAGATGGTACCACCATGACCCGAGTTCAGCATACCCCCAATACTTCTGGAAACACATTTAGAAAATATATCTTACAGATGTATTCATGTTCATTTTTTTAATATTTACCAATTTATAATTTTCTATGCAATGCTTAAGACTAACAACTAAAAGACCCAGAACTGAACCCAGATCTTTCAGTTGTGAGCAGAATGTGCTACACTGAGCCATGAATCAAGTAAATTGTCATTATTTTTTTTTTAAACATTGGCCGTCTCCCAAAAGGCAGGGCAACTCAAAAAAAGAAATAACAAAAGTTTTTCTTCATTTTACATTTAGTAATTTATACAGGAGAAGGGGTTACTAGCCCTTTGCTTCCAGCAATTTAGTCAATTATCATTATTATTAATTATTATATTTTGAAAAATCTGATATATATACACAATTTTTGCAGTAACTAGTGTACACTGTTAGGCATCAAATACAATGGAACCTCGGCTTACAAACGCCCCACCATGCGAACTTTTCAGGATTTGAACCATCGTTCGGTCGATTTTTTGCTTCTGGATATGAACAAAATTTTAGGATGCATACTTACCCCTGAAGGGAGGTTCCTTAAATAAATAAATAAATAAATATATAAAATATTTATTTCTTTGGAAAGGTTACAATGTGTGTTTACATATCATAATATGATTGGAGCAAAGAAAGCCACTATCATGCCGAGGCATTTCGGGCAGACTTAACCTAATACTTATAGACTACTTAAGTCTAGATAGGTGAAGAGTGGTAGTGGTGACATGTTCTGCTGATCATGGCACCAGCTACTAGCAGCCTTCTGAATTTCTCCTTACAGTTATTACATATTATTATTATTATTTTTATTACATACTATTATATTGTATTATTATTATTATTAGTAGTATGTATGTGGTGAGGGGCTCTTGATCCAGGGAATTGTATCTGTGTTCCAGTTCCCTAAATTAAACCTGAATACCTTCCATCCCCTCCCCCCCACAAGTGCTTCCCCATTATAATAGTAATAATAATATGTAATAATAATATAATAATACTGTACATCTAATAATAATACAATAATAATGTACTATAATAATTATAATAGCTTCGAAAGGCTGTCACTAGATGGCAGTGAATACCACAACAATGCGGAAGAGGTTATGGCCGCCTCTACTGGTCACATAATGACATATTTTATTCATTCTAGAGTATATATCAGGTTTCTTTGTTATTTATATTGTTTATTATGTCATATTAGATCAACTGAGATAGATAAATAAGCCGTAGAGTTGATATTAGTGTTATATTGAAGTGTATTTTTCCTGCCTCTAACAGAGAGAATTCCGGAACAGATTCATGACTTTTCAATTAATTTAAATGAGGAAAACTGACTCTGCATACAAACAAATCAGGATACGAACAAGGTCATGGAACGGATTAGGTTCGTAAGCCAAGGTTCCACTGTACCTCCAATACATCTATGAAAGACTGCAATGGGTTACCTAATTATGTCAAGATCAGTAACAGTATATGCCAATTTAGCACCAAAATTAAGAAGTTCCTAATTAATTAATCTAGAGAATGGGAAGACAGTGACATTTTGAAATTTCAACAGAATATTCTACTAGTAGTTATGTACCAAATTCTTTATTTCCAAATATTGTTTTTACAAAATAATAATAAGAGCCCATAACATGCACAGTATTTTGGGCAAAACATAGTCTACTTTAGAGAACTACATAGCTTCATTTATTATTTTTTTTAGTTTATATATACATATGGTATTAATAGGTAGTAGATTGGTAGACAGCAACCACCCAGGGAGGTACTACCGTCCTGCCAAGTGAGTGTAAAACGAAAGCCTGTGATTGTTTTACATGATGGTAGGATTGCTGATGTCTTTTGTCTGTCTCATAAATATGCAACATTACAGGCATGTCTTGCTACTTCTACTTACACTTAGGTCACACTACACATACATATACACATTTATTCATACACACTCATCTGAGTTTTCTTTTGATTTTTATTTTAAATAGTTCTTGGTCTTATTAATTTTCCTTTTATATCCGGGGGAAGTGGAATAAGAATCTTTCCTCCGTAACCCATGCGTGTTGTAAAAGTCAACTAAAATGCCGGAACAAGGGGCTAGTAACCCCCTTTTCCTGAAAAGATTACTAAAAAGAATAAAAAGAAGAAAATTGTCAAAGTGGAAGTCTGAATGTGCGTGGATGTTGTGCAGATGATAAGAAAGAGATGATTGGGGATGTTATGAATGAGAAGAAGCTGGATGTCCTGGCTTTAAGTGAAACAAAGCTGAAGGGGTGAGAGAGTTTCAGTGGAGAGGAATAAAGGGGATTAGGTCAGGGGTTTCAAATAGAGTTAGAGCTAAAGAAGGAGTACAATAATGTTGAAGATAAGCTATGGCAGGAAAAGAGGGACTATAAATGTATTAAATTTAAGGATTATGTGGAGTAAAATAAAGATTGGATGTGAAAAGTGGGTTATAATAAGCTGTATGCACCTGGAGAAGAGAGAAGTGTAGAGGAGAGAGAGAGATTTTGGGGAAAAGTTGAGTGAATGTGTGGGGAGTTTTGAATCAAGTGTGAGAGAAATGGGGGTTGGGGATTTAAATGCTAAAGGGGGTAAAAATGTTATGAGGAGTAGTAGGTAATTTTTTGGGGTGCCAGGGGTAAATGTAAATGGGGAGCCTTAATTGAGCTATTTTTAAAAAAAATTTGGTAAAAAGAAACATATTTTATAAAAGAGATAAAAAATTTTTCCCAAGGTATGATGAGCCGAAAGAAAGAGTTTAAGATAATGTATTGGGTAAAAGGGTTTGATGGGGGGCTCAGATGTAATGTTTATAAGGGGCAACTAATAGGGATCATTATTTTTGAGCACAGTTAGAGAAAGGTAGGGGGAAAAGGGGAAGGTGGAAACAAAATAAGAGGGAGGTGAAAGTGAAAAAACAAAGGGGAGGAGGAAGTTCGGGTGAGATAAAAGCACTATTGGCAAAAGGTGGGATAGTGAAAGAGAGAAAATGGGGGGGGTTGAAGGGGGTTGGGAATATTTTTTAAAAACAGAAAATTAAAAAGTGGGCAGAATTTGTGGTTATAGGGGGGTGGGGCAGGAGGAAAGAGGATGATGGTGGAATAAATAAAGGGTTGAAAAAAGAGAAAAAGGGCTTATAAAAGGGGTTTTTACAAAGCAGAATGTTATAAGAAGAGCGAATTATGGAGAGTAAAAAAAAGGTAAAGAGAGTGGTGAAGAGTGCAAAAGGAGGCAATGATAAGTGGGAGAGGCATGTCAAAATTTTTTAAATGAAAATAAAAAAAGATTTTGGAGTGAGTTAAACAAGTTAAAAAGCCAAAAGGGGAAAAAAGGATTTGCATTAAAAACAGAGTAGGGGAGTTAGTAGATGGGGGAAAAGGGGGTATTAGGGAGATGGCGAGAATATTTTGAGGAACTTTTAAAAGTTTAAAGGGAAAAAACAGAGGCATAATTTCATGCACTGGTCGGGAGGTATACCATCTTTTAGGAGGAAGAAGAGCAGAATGTAAGTGTGGGGGAGGTCGTTGGGGATTACATAAAATGAAAGGGTAAAGCAGCGGAAAAATGATGGGGCGACAGAAATTTTTAAAAGCAGGGGGGGATAGTGTTGGGTGGTTGGTCTTTTGTTTAATAAATGTATGAAAGAGGGGGGGTACCGGGATTGGGGAAGCATTTTTAGTCCCCTTTATATAAAGGGGAAAAGGGGGCAAAAAAAACTGTAAAAATTTTTAAAAGGAATAACTTTCGAGTATACCAGGGAAAAAATGTCGGTAGGGTTTTAATTAAAGAATTAAAGGTAAGACAAAAAGTAGGGTTGTGGATGAGCAAGGAGTTTCAGAGTGGGTAGGGGAGTGAGTCAAGGTTTACATTGAAACAATTTGAACATATTTAGATAAAGGTAGGGAATTTTTATTTCATTTATGGATTTAGAAAAGGCATTGATAGAGTGGATAGAGGGCAATGTGCAGATGTTGCAAGTATATGGGAATGGTTAAGTTATTAAAGCTGTAAAGAGTTTTATAGGAAGTGAGGCCCCGGTTGGGTGTGGAAGAGAGGGAACTATTTCCCGGGAAAAGTAGGTCTTTCAGGGATTGGGAATGTCACCATGGTTTTTAATATATTTTTAAGGGGTTGTAAAGGGAAATAAATGCTAGGGTTTCGGGAGAGGGGGGGGAAATTTAAA